ATGTGGAAAAAGCTAATGTACTTAATGCTTTGTTTGCCTCTGCCTTCATGAAGGTCAGCTCCCAGATTCTGCACTGGGCAGCACAGTATGGAGAGGAGGTGACCAGCCCTCTGTGGAGAAAGAAGTGGTTCAGGACTATTTAGAAAAGCTGGATGAGCACAAGTCCATGGGGCCGGATGCACTGCATCCGAGGGTGCTAACGGAGTTGGCGGATGTGATTGCAGAACCATTGGCCATTATCTTTGAAAACTCCATGGTGATCGGGGGAGGTCCTGGATGACTGGAAAAAGGCTAATGTAGTGCCCATCTTTAAAAAAGGGAAGAAGGAGGATCCAGGGAACTACAGGCCAGTGAGCCTCACCTCAGTCCCTGGAAAAATCATGGAGCAGGTCCTCAAGGAATCAATTCTGAAGCACTTAGGGGAGAGGAACGTGATCAGGAACAGTCAGCATGGATTCACCAAGGGCAAGACATGCCTGACTAACCTAATTGCCTTCTATGATGAGATAACTGGCGATAGTACTTATCCCTACAGCCTTATGATTTCCAAGTGATGCACCGCCTTGGAAAGGCGCACACCAATGCTGACTTCTTTTCTTTGCCGGAATGTGAGGAAAGAGACACCGCACCCCCGCCAGATCCACTCTTAAAGGGGAGGGTGTGTGATGGGGCGCACTCACCCTGCACTGGACGGGGAAGGGTTAACCCTACATTGTGGGTTGAGGAAGTCACACCCACTGTACTCTACTGAGCATGCTCCAGGTGCACTGGTATAAAAGGGAGCAGCTCAGCTCAGTTGGGGCTGACTGCCGTGGAGGAAGGACGTATGCCACCTGCCCCAGCCAAGGCTCAGCGGAAGTCCGGGACCCTAGGAGCCGGGGATGCCGCAGCCCAGGCAGACGCTAAGGCAACCCTGGAGGCCTCACAGGGTTTGAACGTGCCGGAGAAAGGGCAGACCGGAGATCCTAGAGGTAACAGGGACGCCCAGACCACGGCAGCAGGGACAACGGCAGGAAGCAGCCCAGGGGAATCAGACGGCGGACCGGTGAGTGAGCCGAAGCCTTGAGTCAGCGTGTTTCGGTCAGAGCTTTCCCCTGCTGATTCAGTGGCCTGTGCTACAACCACTACCAGGGTCCTGGGCTGGGGTCCGGTGGAGCGGGAGGGCCTGGACCCCCCTGCTGGGGGTGCAACCCCTTCCTCTGTGTCTGGCAGTGGCCGCTAGGCCTTACTGCCCTGCTGACAAGGGCGAATTTATTGACTCTGGTCACTAAGCCTTGCAGCCCTGTGGACAGGGGCGAATGTAGTGATTTGGGCCATTAGGCCTTACCGCCCTGCGAAAAGGAGTGGATTTCCTGACTCTGGCCATTGGGCCTTACTGCCCTGCGTAAAGGGGCGGATTGACTGACTCTGGCCCCTAGGCCTTACTGCCTGGTTGACAAGGGCAAATTTATGGACTCTGGCCACTAGGCTGCACCGCCCTGCTGATAAGAGCGAGCGTATGGACTCGGGCTGGGAGAGACGTAGGCATAAGATACATATGTCCCCCTCCTCCTAATTCCCTAAGAGAGGTGGGCACACTCACCCCGCATAGGATGGGGTTTCCCCCCAACCCTGTCATAGGACCCACCATTATCCTGGCTCCCCCTGTTCCCCTCTTGCAGCCCCAGATAGTCCCTCTTTCATTGTAGCTGGTTCGTGATTGCCACCAGTGTGCTAACTGTCCACTTGCTGGCTCCAGACATTTCTTCAGCACTGCTGCTGCCCACATCCCTCTCTCCACACTGCTGCCCATGGGAGCAGGATCCAGGCAGCAGCAACAGCATAGAAGAAACAACCAGATCCAGCAAGCTGACAAACAGTAGCCTGTACCCACCTCATGTGTGTCCCGGAGGTGCTTCCTCCGCTCTGATGCCTGGATCCCACTTCCCACGCCATTGCCTGCTGCCCGGGGAAGTCAGTGTGTGTGTGCGGGGGGGAGGGGGAGCGCTTCTGGGGTATGCACGACCCACCTACCTGGACCCTTCTGAGGCCCACTGTGAGTTGGGACCCACCATTTGGGAAACACTGACTTAGCACATTGGAGCCCTGGTCCTGGGCACTGCTGAAATATACATAATAATGACATCAATCTGGATACTGTAATTCTTGCTGTTTTGCCAGTCCTGTGGTCGCTTTACAAGTTAGTCTGTATTTATCCGCTATACGTGCATTCATCCTGTGCGGAGGGCCACCCAATGCCTATGTACCACTTAATTCCCACTTAAGCCCTCAAAATAGGGTTTAAGTGGTGCATAGTGTTGCGGTTCCCCGAGAACTCAGTTCGACTCCAGTCTGGTCACTGAGGTTCTTTTTTTGGGGGTCATACAGCAAAGCTATGCTGAATTGATCAGATTCAAGTGTAGGGGGTTGGTATAGGGCAGGGATCGGAAACCATCGGCATTTGTGGCGGCGCTGTGCCTGTGGACGGTTAACGTAAACAAAATGTCTCGCAGCCCGCCAGCAGATTACTCTGATGGGCCGTGTGCCGAAGGCTGCCGACCCCTGGTATAGGGCGTACAACACATCCAAAGTTACACTGCAACTTTCCTTTATATAAATTTACAAACTACATTGCATTTACTATACATTGCATCACATGTTTTGGGATTGGCTTGGTCACTTTGTAGGAACCAATCCCTGTACAGCATTCTCTGTCCATGTACAATTTATTCTTTACCCCATCTTTATGTTTCCGACTTAACTTGTCCATTGTAAATGGTTCCCTGGGTGTTTTCCCACTTATCTTAGCCGGTGCAGACTTGCTGTTTTCAGCCTGCTGATCCATTTACCTCTCTAATCCTATCTCCAAATAAATCAACTCTCACTCATGTCCAATTACTAACATCAAGCCAGGTCGACACAGATGTCTTTTGCTCTCTCTCTGCACGGGTGAATTTCAACCTAAATACTTTTATTAGTCCTGCAAACATGTAAACACCTGTGCAACCTGTAATCCCATTAAGTTACTACTCCCATGAGTAAATTGACTCCCATGCTTAAGTGTTTGCAGGATCGAGGTCTACATCTGTGTTTTCTAACATGAAAACAAGGTCTTTATTTCAGCTTTCTAATGCACTCTATTCTTTCTTGGCATATATTAGAATGGAGGATGTGTTTTCCTGTTCCTAGGCTGCTGTTCTATAAATGAAACAATTCAGGAATTAGGAGGGCTGTTTTTGTAGTTCATTTGTTTATTTTTCATTAGTGCGTATGCTTCTTTGACAAGAAGATCGGTCAGATTAAAAGAGAGTTGGCCCTCCCCAAAGTGTGAGGGGATGAATACCCCTTCTGTCCTGCGTGAGCGTCGTCAGCTTGTGCCTTCTTTCAGCTGCTGGTGCCATAGGTTATCTTGGCTGGTTAAGGCTAGAGGGAAGGTACTAGTGGAAGTGATCAAACGTTTGAGAGGCCAGGCTCCCTCTGTGCATACATGTGTGGAACTGCAGCCTCTGTTCTAAAATATTCATTCTGCAAATTACTGGCCAGCCTCTGCTCCTCCACTGGTGAGAGCGGTTATTGAGACAGTGGGGATTGGGTTAATCCCACCTGGATTAGATCATTTTTGTTTAAGTACATCTTTGTACATCTAGAACCAGACCATTTCATGACCCAGAGAGTTCTGATTAACATGGTGGAAGATCTGCCAGTAAGGGACGAGGGCGTCTGCTCCCTGCTAATTATGTTAGACCTATCACCGGATGTTGGTAGCCTAGCTGTGGACCATGGTAGGGGTGGGTGTTGTCACAACTCTTCTGTGACTGAGCTGCCTTGTAGAAGAGAATTCCCAAAAGCGAAGGGTGCTCAGCATCGTCCAGTTTACCTGCTGTTCTGTCCTTATCTTGGTGAACGTGTATGAGCCTGATGGGAGATAGGGGTACAGACTGGGATACGGAGTGATACTAGTACTTTTACCTCTGTGCCTCCTTTCCTGTTGTCCTGCTTTAACTATCTCTTGGTTTTCTTGCAGACGGATTTGTTTAGATGGGGGACAGTTGGCTGAAACTCAATCCCGATAAAGCTTATGTAATGTTTCTGGCACCTCTCGTTTTGAAGCAGTTGTGGATGCTTTATGCACCTCCGTTATGCCCAGGGCAAGGCCACCACTTGCGAGGGAGGTCAGGAAAATAGGGGTCATTCTGCATTGCTTTCCAGAATGGAAACTCCTAGTACAACACTACTTCACAGTGGCTATCACTAGACTTGGAAATTGCCCAATTCTGTCTAATGCAGAACTCACTACAGCTATTCCCACGTTCCTCACTTCCTGGCTAGACTATTGTAATTGAATCCTGATTGGTCTTTGCTTGAATCTGATCCAGAGGCTACAATGGCTGCAGAATGCAATGGCTCTCATTTGCTTCATGGCATAGGGCAAGGCAGTTAGCGATGCCTGGTTTCCACATTCTGCCTGTAATCCATCTGATTCATTTCCAGGTCTTGCTGACTGTATATTAGTCTAGGCCTGTGTGCGGCTGTCTCTCCCCCGTCAAGGCAGTTGAGGTCAGCTAGTGTGTCTTTGCTCTCCATCCTCACCAGGATTCCATGTGAAGCGGGCTGGGTTCAGGGAGCCCACTTATGGAACTCCACCCTTAAGATGGATGCCAGTCTCTTTCCATGGAGTTTGGGTTTGAGGCCAAACTAGGACTGGATGCAGACTAACCAGTGCCAAAATCAAAGCTGAAATTTCTGTCATCTTGGGTCACATCCAATCTGTATTTGGAAATTAGGGCCTTTCTGCCTTTGGACCTGACACAGAGTCTAAACCGTAGGGACAGGTTCATCTCCAGAGATTTGAATCTGAAACAGTCTTGACCTGGAGTTTGAGGAGGGCAGAGGTTCAGACTCGGATTCTGTTTTGGACCCTTCTCTAGTTAAAACTATGCTGAAGTAGAGTTGAATAGTTCCCAGGCAGACCTGGGTAGAATTTACCAACTTGCTGATCTCAGTGTCTTTCTGTTTTTTAGTTGAAACACCCCCACCTTACAATGCAAGAGAAACACCAGGAAACCAAAATGGACGATCAGTGGATGCAACAGCTGACAATCAGTTAGTGCTATCATTGCCCAATGGAGGTAAATCTGCTGCTGGAGAAACTGAAAATATACAAGTATTTGTACTGCTTCCCAGGGAAAAATTCTTAGCCAAAGAATTATTATATATTCTTCAGAGCAGGAAGGCCTATTGTTCTTTTTCGAGTGCTGGTCCCTATGTGTATTCCACATGTGGGTATGCATTTGCACCGTGCACCCGAGTCTGGAAATTTTTCAGAGCAGTGTCCGTTGGCCCGCACATGCACAGTAGATCTCCTTGTGCTCTTGACTTAGGGTATAAGAGGCAGTGAGGGTCAACACCTCTCCAGTTCCTTCTTACTCCCACATAGTCTGAGTCAGACTCATGTCCTCCGGCGCTCAGTTGTATAACTTGCAAAGAAAGAAAATATTTGTAAATAATTATATATTTTAACTTAGTAATTAGTAGTTAAATTTGTAGTTAGCATAGAGTATTTCCTTTCCCAGGTTGGGGAACCTCCAACCTCAGGGACTATGCTCAGATTCCCAGGATTCAAGAATTGCATCCCCTGCCCTTGCTCTTTTCCATCAGATTGAACATCAGCGGTGCCTGTGTTTGTCTGGGTGAGGCACATATCTCTGCAAAGTGCAGGATCTGTCACTCCTTCCCACCCAGAACTCGAAAAGCCTGTGAGCTTTGCCTATGAAAGCACCTGAGGGAGAAGTCTAGGTGGCCCTCATCTGTGCCCCTCCAAGCACATGCTTTGGAGTGGAGCCTTTGACATATAAGCCCAAGGACTCTTCTTGTAGGGCTCCCCATGAGAATAGAGGGCACTCCTCATGGGCACAAGGACAGATCCCCGCCGAGGACTGTCCACAAGAAACACCCTTCCTCCCTGAGCCTGTCCAGGTGAGGTGAAAAGTCGCCTACAGAACCGGCTCTGCTGATGATCCCCAGATCGGAGGACAAGGCACATCTGTAACAGTGGGCTTTGCCAGATCTGAAGTTAAGGAGGCAGCCCAGGCTTGTCATTCAGTAGCAAGAGAGGGATTTAAGAATTCAGTGACTTAGGTACCAGGACAAAAGATTCTGATTTTATTTGCATCTGTGGGGTCACAAAAGTTAGAAGTATTAATGAAAACAAACACCATTATCCAGGTTGTAGTGATGAATATCAAATAAGAGATGAGGGGAGGGAGGAATGTGTAACGCAGCAAGAGCTAAGTCAAAATCAGGACCGATTTCTTTATTGACTTCAATTTGGGGTGAGTTACTTATCCATCGTAAAGCACTCTGTTCAGAGGCTTTAGTATTTCCATCTTTTTTTTTTAATGTCACATTGCTGTAATACATACTTATATTTTCTGAATAATAAGTAGTGTCACTAGTGCACAGAAAGAGCTTTACAGAAGGTCAGATCTTCCTCCCCATGCTCTGTGTGGGAGACCTAGTGAAAGCTGGGAGGGTTGTAAGCCCCCATCCCCATGCTAAAGGCTAGGGCATGGAACAGCTTTAGAGCCACTTTGCAACTATTCTTCTTCGACTAGTGTCCCTATGAGTTCTCAACTGTAGGTGTATCTATGTCCCTGCGCCTCTAATCAGAGATTTTAGGTAGCTGTGTCCGTTCAGCCCGCGCATGTGGTCTGCCTCAAGGCTATCTAGTGCTGCGTGGGCGAACCCCCCGCTGGGCTAAAAGAAGAGAAAGAACTTTAGTTTCCGTTGCCTGCCCTTTTGGGAGGATCCTCCTTGTCCCTCTCCTCACCCTCGGAGTCTTTAGAGGTTATTCTAACTTCTCTTGGTTTAAAAAAAAAAAGAGAGAGAGAAGACGAGGACAGAACATCTTTTTTTCTGCATTCCTCACTGCTAGAGGGTGATAGCTTCCACCTCCCCGGGGCATGGCTGGTTCTCCCAGCTTCAAGAGGTGCCTCTCCTGCAAGGAGTCGATTTCTGTAATGGACAGACACTCTCACAGTGTCCGGTGCCTGGGAGAGTCCCATATCCCTCAGAAGTGTTCCCTCTGCCACCAGCTAAAGCTGAGGTCTCGCAAGAACTGGGAGCTGAATAATAATAAATAAATAATAATATATGGAGATATTCTATCTCCTAGAACTGGAAGGGACCCTGAAAGGTCATTGAGTTCAGATCCCTAAGTGATCCCCTCAAGGACTGAACTCACAACCCTGGGTTCAGCAGGCCAATGCTCAAACCACTGAGCTATCCCTCCCCCCAAGTTAAAAGTCCTCCTTATGGAGAAGGCACTTCAGCTGCCAGGGGACTCCGGTGCCAACCCTGGATCCTCCCCAGAGCCTTCAACTTCAAAGGGAGTAGAGATGCAGAAAAACCAGCAGATTCCCCCCATAAAGGCTCGAGGAAAAAGGGCTCCAAGCACTGTTGGCCTGTCAGAGGGATTCCCCAGTGCGATCGGCCACCTCAGTACTGGCGGCTCCGAAGTGCGGTACCCAGAAGCATCAGGGTGCCTCCGCTGTGAGCTCAGCCGCACCGCCTAGAGAAGTCAGGGCTCAGGCTCTGAGGCAGTGGTTCTGTCCCCTGAGGAGAAAGATAAATACCGTATTGCCTCTAAAGGAGTGGCACTGAGTAAACCTTTGTTACCAAATGTGTCAAAACTCACATCTAGGGAGTGCTCTGCATCTTGGCAACCATCGGTACCAGCAATGTACCACAGACACACTCTGTGGTACCGAGTGAGCCGACGATACTGCAAGAGTTACAGTACCCTAGCGACCTGATGGTTGGTTGAAGAAACACAGTCGCCATTACTCAGTATCGGGGCCCCGGTACCGAGCACATCCCGGTGCCCGGAATTGTCCTCAGCACCAGGCCTTATGCCACCAATATCTCGGTCAATGCCATCCTTACCCAGTGATGAGCCTGACAGTGACCAGGAGGATGTCATTTCCCTAGCTTCTCACCGTGGCCTGCCATCACAATACAAGGGTCCTCAATTCCATCGAGCCAACCCATGCTATGGGCCCCCCTTGGGCTTCTCCGCCATCCATGCCTTTCCCTCGCCTATGTCTGTATTGGGATCCTTGGGCGACATACACATCCCACATGTCAAGGGTGTCCATTGTCTCTCAGAGAGAATCCACCAAATGGTCCCCTCCGGCCTCTTTGTCCAGATCCCCTGAGCCAGTGGAGGAGGAAACTTTGGAAGAACAGGAAGAAGGACTTGAAGGAGAAGCTACCCCTCCTGAAATCTTCTCCTTATCTTCACCAGACGAGGCTGTACTGCCCCCCCACCACCACCAATCACTTGGTGATGATTTTAAGACCAAGAGAGTGGCAGATGAGCTGTAAATTCGCCTGCAGGAGGTGACAGACACATTGTAAACTGGTGAATATTCTGCACACTGCCTCTTCATCCAGAATTGCGCTCCCAATTAACGAGGTGATTCTAGATCCTGCCAAAATCATCTGGCAGACACCAGCCTCCATTGCACCAATCTGCGAGAAAGCTGACAGGAAGTCCCTCCCAAAGAGGCAGACTTTTAGAGTCACGAACTACCAAGCTGCCATGGCCAAATAAGATTTTATTAATTATGTGAAACTCAGTGTATTTGTGGATCATCTTCCAGAGGTACAAAAGGAGCAGTTTCAGGCCATTGTCAGAGAGGGCCAGTTAGTAGCTAGAACTGTGCTACAGACAGCACTGGGTGCAGCCAATACAGCGGTCCACTCGGTCTCCTTGGCAGTGGTAATGAGGCCGGCTTCCTTGTTACACCTTTCCAGGGTTGCCCAAAGAACTGCAGACGATAGTGGAAGATCTCGTGTTTGAAGGGCCCAAGCTCTTTGCGAATAAGACATACTCCTCTCTCTACACCCTGAAGGATTCCCGGGCCCCATTACGCTCTCTGGGAATCTACACTGCAGGACAAAAGAGAAGATACAGCTCTCAACCACAGCAGAGGTCATGACCTCCTCAGTACCCACCGTCACAGCACGATTACAAACTGCAGCACAAAAAGCCCACAGTACAAAAGTGGAAGCAGTCAGCATCCCAATCCGCATCCTGTCTGCCTTCCTCTGCTGAACACTTTTAACGGGTTGGTTGAGGGTCCAAATAGCTATTTCTTGCAACATCAGATGCCTTCTGCCTGTCATGTCCCTTTGGAAGTCGCCTGGCCCTCTTTCACAGCAGTTGGGACAATATCCCCTCCGACAGATGGGTCTTTGGAGATTATTTCAAAGGGTTATGTCATTTAATTCCCTTTCCCTCTTCAGGGACCCTTTTCATGAGAACTTACTTCACCATGAAAATAGATGTATTACACTTAGGGGCCATAGAACCAATCATGACGCAACTCAGAGGCAAGGAGTTCTACTCATTATTTCCTGATTCCCCAAGGTGAAGAGAGGGTAGGGGCCCATTCTAGATCTAAGGGCACTAAACAAATACGTGAAGGCACAAAAGTTCCAGATGATCACCCTAGCAGCCATTATTCCAGCTCTGGAGTAAGGAGATTGGGTTGCAGCCTTTGACCTACAAGATGCCGACTTCCAGATCTTCACCTTCACGAGTCTCATAGGGACAGTCCAGTCCAGCCCCCAAACATCAGCTAGGAGCTTTCTGCAGCTGCTGGGTCATAGGGCAGCATGAACCTTTGTCACTTCAAATACCCAGATGTTCATGAGGTGTCTTCAGATGTGGCTCAGTTCAGTCAATTCTCCAAACAGGGACAGACTAACCAAACTGCTATCAGTGCCCTGCATAGTAAAATACTCTCTGGACAGGTGGAAAGACCCATCCAACTTTCAAGCAGGTGTTCCATTTGTGCAACCACCACCAACGCTGACTCTAACAACAGATGCTTCCCTAATAGGCTTGGGAGCCCACCTACATGACCAAAAGGTTCAGGGCAAGTGGTCTTCCACAGGAGCGGCCCTCCATATCAATCCTTTGGCCGTAACAGCAGTCAGGAACGCCTGTGCACACTTTCTGCCATTCATCAGAAATACCCACACAAAAGTCATGATGGACAATATGACTATATGTTTTACATAAATCACCCAGGGGTCACCAGATCTCTCTCTCCCTCTGCATGGAAGCACTCAAACTTTGGAATTGGTGCATCCATCACAATGTGCTTATCTCAGCTGTGTATCTGCAGACTGCGACAGCTGACAGTCTGTTGGAACTGTTCTCACGACTACGAATGGGAACTGAACTCAAAGGTGCTTCGCAACATATTCACCCTTTGGGGAACCCTGACTACAGATCTTTTTGCTACTTACTGAAACAAGAAACGTCCTCGCTACTACTCCAGGGTTGGCCTGGGGACACATTCACTGGGAGACGCAGTCATCCTCCTATGGGACAGGGGCCTTTTGTATGCCTTTCCCCCATTCCTTCTCTATCCAAAGTCCTGTTGAAAATCCGACGAGACGAAGTGAGAGTTATTCTGATTGTCCCCTTCTGGACAAGACAAGTCTGGTTCCCTTACCAGACACGCATGACGGTATACCCTCCGGTTCCTCTTTGGCCCATTCCTCGGTTGCTCTCTCAAAACAACAGGATGATTCTTCACCTCAATCTGCGGATCCTCTACCTCCATGGTTCACTCCTTCGTGGTTCCAAGACTAAGAGGTAGAGTGCTCTGATGAGGTGAAAGATGTGTTGCTATACAGCCGAAAGTTGACCACTCAACGTACTTACCTACAAAAATGGAAATAATTACAAATTTGGTGTCATTCTAATCACATATACCAGGCCTTGTCCTCTCTCCCTCTGGTTTTAGACCTCAAGAGGTCAAAACGCTCGCTCCACTCCCTTCAGGTACATCTTCAGTCGTAACGGCCTTCCACCATCAAGTAGACGGATACTCGGTGTTCGTTCACCTGCTGATGCATAGATTTCTTAAAGCATTGGTAATCTCTTCCTGCATATGAGACCACCCTCTCTGACCTGGGATCTTAACCTAGAATTAGACCTCCCTTTGAGCCCATGGCAACTTGCTCTCTCTTTCACCTGTCGATGAAGACAGCATTTCTAATTGCCATCACCTCAGGTAGGCGCATAGGAGAAATTGCGGTCCTGATTGTACACCCCCTATTTGTGGTCTTTTTTAAAGACAAAGTAACCCTGAGGCTGCATCCCAAGTTTCTCCCTAATGACTAAGGACTTTCTTTCATTCGCAGAAAGACACAAAGGTTCCGTGATATTGGCTCAAAGACTACCCAAAAGGGTCTTGGGTTGCATTAATCTCTGTTATCAAGGACTCAACCCGTTGCCTCCATCCGGACGTACGCACTCCACAAGGTCAATTTCTACCTCAGTTGCACTCTTTAAAGATGTCCCTATCTCGGAAATCTGCAGAGTAGCAACTTGGGCCTCTGCCCACACTTTCACAGAACATTATGTGATCGCTGGAGATTCGGCCTCCGACGTCATCTTCCGTTCCTCAGTACTCTCTGTAGTAACAGACTCCACTGTGAAGCCCCAGCCCTCCATGGGGGATACTGCTGTGAAGTCACCAATGGCGGAGCACCCATAGGGACACTATTCAAACAATAAAAAGTTATCTTGTGCAGTAACTGAGGCTCTTTGAGAGGTGTGTCCCTATGGGTACTCTACAACCTGCCCTTCTCCCCTCTACTTCGGAGTTCTTAATATGGGGCTCTGCGGTAGAGAAGGAACTGAGGGGGGGTTGCCTACGCTGCGCTAGAAAGCCTCGAGGCAGACCACAAGGGAGGGAGAGCGCATGTGCGGGCTGAACAGACCTAAAATCTCCAATTAGAGCCGCAGGGTCACAGATACACCTGCAGTGGAGCACCCTTAGGGGGACACATCTTGAAGAACCATCATTACTGCAGAAGGTGAGTAACTTTCTCTTTCTACAGTCTCTGGGCTGCAGTAGTGACTACCGACCTCAGCTTGCAGACCTACTGACTTGCTCCTCCCTTAGCCACACATTCACCTGTCTCAGAGACCACCACCGTGGAGCAGTGCCCCATGGAATCTATGGTATGAGGAGTCCTTCTGGTCTGGTTTCCTATGGCCTGCTCTGAGTGCAGTTGTTACGATTGCTCCTTGTACTGCACAGACGCCAGGTTCAGGGCCTGGCTGTTGCTGAGCACTGTGCAAACACATATTAAAGGACAGTCCCTGCCCCCAAAAGCTTACAATCTCAATTAAGACAGGAAGTAACAAGTGCATGTAGCAGACAACTGGAGGGGAGGGAGGATCAGGGTAACCATGCTAGGAACATGTGACAGCCACCAGGTTTCCAGTCATCTTTCCTCTCCTCTCCCCCACCACAAATGAATACTCCCAGAAACATTAAGGACATCATTGATTCCTGCTGGCCACCTGCCTAGCTACTCTCAGTTGGAAACATATTGTACATTTCACAGCAGGAGAGGGTTTCACTGCTTTTTGGGTCTTACATGCCCATGGCAGGGGGACAGGTTAACTAATGCTCATGGGACAAATAAGATTCAGTTCAAATAAGCACCCAGATGGATCCTTAACCAGACTTTGAGTCTGCAAAACTTGGGGTTCCAGCAAGAACGGCCTTTCGTGTGGCATTTTGGCATTTCTGCCTGTACTCTCAGGTGGAAGCAGGCCATCCTGAGGTGTGTGAAAATGAAAAATAAGAAATAAAACAGAGGAATGATACATGCAAACCTCCTTGCTTGGCGTTAGGTTTAATCACACATTGCATGAAGGCTTAGCTCACTTTTTATTGTAAAACTGAACCAGTTTGCACATTCCTGGCTCTTGTTGTTTGTCAGAGATACAGTGCACATAACTGCCCGGGCACTGCAAAGCTAACTCAACTTGCACATGCTCTACTTTAAGCATAAGGGTTGTCTCACTGGAGTCTCAGTGGGACTACTCACATGCTTCCAGTTAAGCACATGCTCAAGTTCTCTAATGTTCTCCCTTTGGGAGCACTAGTCAGCAAACTAAGAAGAAATGGAATCTGCTGTTGAGACTGCCCCTGACGAAAAGTGACTGATTAGATGGAGATCATGGTCTGAGAGAGTTTAGATAGAAAAACAAGCATTACTGTGACCTAGGCACCTGATTTATTTTATTTCCTACAGACTTTCGACCTGTTTGCTATGAGGAACCCCAGCACTGGTGCTCAGTTGCCTACTATGAACTCAACAACCGAGTAGGGGAGACTTTCCAGGCTTCTTCTCGGAGTATTCTTATAGATGGATTCACGGATCCTTCAAATAACAGGAACCGATTCTGTCTTGGACTGCTCTCTAATGTCAACAGGAATTCTACTATAGAAAACACCAGGCGACACATAGGAAAAGGTAAGAGCAAATTTCCTCTTATTGGTAAGGAACAGAACTTGGAAGAACGTCCATGGTCTAGAACTAGAAAAGTCTGTCTGTCCATTGTATCTGTCTATCTACCTAACAAACACGAATGTAAAGCCACCTGCTCGGCTTCTTTCTGAAGCAGTAGATGAGGCATTGGCTCTTTACTGGGAAGAGGGTAGCTTTTTACACAGATTATTTACTTGGCCTACATGGAACCCATAATTAAAAACAAAACTTTGCTCTAACTTAGAAGTATGTGTTTTCATTTGTATTTATCAGAACTTCTGGCAACTGAGAATATTGCCATTGAAATGTCACTAAAAAAATAATTATTGGTCCCTGGCTGCTGGTTTTTCTATCACCAGAAAGCAGGTGGAGACAGACAACATGCTAACTAACTGAGCTATAAATTTAGATAGCACTGCTAAAGTTTCCTCTGTTGCTTTTTTTTCTCTTGTTAAGGAAACCAGTTCAATCTGATTCTGTGTTTCTGGGAACTTTTACCAGTTAAATCTAAGAGAAATATAAGGTTCTTTTTCAAGTGATTGCCCACATGTATTCCACTTCCAGTGAAGTGCACATGTGTTCCATTCACACAAGACTGAATTCTTTTGGCCAGCAGTGTCCATTGGGGCCATGCCTGCACTCTGTATGCCCTCGTGTCCCCCTCCTGAGGCCAGAAAGAGCAGAGCAGGTCCAGCCGTCCATCAGTTCCTTCTGATCGCCTGTGACAGTAAGACCAAACCCCTGCAGTGTCCGCTTCACTGTGCATTGTGTGACTTTGCCTACTCATGTATATAAATTAATTGTAGATAACGTCATTAGTCTAGTTGTCATTTTTCTCTTACACCTGCTAGCTTTAAAACATATATATATAATTTTTTTTTTTAGTGTCCTTAGAGGCTTCTCTGGTATCAAGATTTAACTGCTGTAGCTGAAACAAAATCCCTGGAGTTCAAAACTTGCCCCTCCTGTGATGCAACTATTCTACTCAATGATGAGCATTTTAGGTGTCTTTTTGCCTTGAAGAGGGGCACATCCCCATCAGATTCTCAATCTGCCCACCCCTTCTCCAAGAAGACACAGAAGGCTGCTCCTTGCTGCAGCTCATCTCTGTTAGCAAGTTCCAAATTGGGTAAAGCTTGCCCAGTTGCCAGTATTTAGTGGAAACTTCTAGTCTGTGGCAGCCAGGTTGCTGGTCATCTCTTTGATCTGTCATGTCTTTCCTCCCTGGGAGCTTGGCATCGGGACATCCTAGCTTGCCTGGAGTTTTTGCAGTTGTTGCTCCAACAGAGATTTGACAGCCCTCAGCCCTTTCTGGGAATCCTCCAGATGCTGCTCTAATTTGTTTTGTGAAGCTTCCAGGTCTTGTTTTAAATTCCTTTGAGAAAACTCCAGCTCTGGTTGTATGTCTTGTTTAAAATCCCACTGGTCATTTTTGATTCTGCAAGCACCTCCTTTATTTGTTCTGTCTTGGTTCAACAGGAATCCAGCTCGCAGTCTCTTTCTCTCTCCTTGGAAACTGGATGCCGCTCTTGGCATCAGTGTGGCCCCTTTTCAACCCGAGCGGCTAGTCACATTTATGGGACCCTGAGGATGTTCCAGCTGGAAGTAGAAGTTGATGGATTCTGATATTCTCTTTGATGCAGTCTTGTTTATTTACTAGGAATGTACAAAGTCCTCCTTCTCCGAATGCAGGAGGAACCCAGAACAAAAGGAGCAGTTTCTTAGTTTACAGATCCAAGCCTCTTTAGTCAACAGCCCCAAAAAATCTCTCTAGCTTTTTCCAGGGTCACATGGTGTTCATAGGCTACTGCTTGGCCTTCTTGCTTTTTTGCCTCTCTCTCTCTGTTCCTGTCTTTTTCAGTCTTGTATCGCTTCTGCCATTCCGCTCCCTCCCCCATACACACCTACCCAAAACAATACTCAGCCAAAAGCTTTTGGGTGGATTCACACTCACCTACAGTCCTCAGCTTAAACCTCTCCAATGCATCATCAGTGATCTACAACCCATCCTGGACAATGATCCCTCACTTTCACAGACCTTGGGAGGCAGGCCAGTCCTCGCTCACAGACAACCTGCCGACCTTAAGCATATTCTCACCAGCAACCACACACCGCACCATAACAACTCTAACTCAGGAACCAATCCATGCAACAAACCTCGATGCCAACTCTGCCCACATATCTACACCAACAACACCATCACAGGACCTAACCAGATCAGCTACAACATCACCAGTTCATTCACCTGCACGTCCACCAATGTTATATATGCCATCATGTGCCAGCAATGCCCCTCTGCTATGTACATTGGCCAAACTGGACAGTCACTACGTAAAAGGATAAATGGACACAAGTCAGATATCAGGAATGGCAATATTCAAAAACCTGTAGGAGAACACTTCAACCTCCTTGGCCACACAATAGCAGATGTAAAGGTAGCCATCTTACAGCAAAAAAACTTCAGGACCAGACTCCAAAGAGAAACTGCTGAGCTTCAGTTCATTTGCAAATTTGACACCATCAGATCAGGATTAAACAAAGACTGTGAATGGCTAGCCAACTACAGAAGCAGTTTCTCCTCCCTTGGTGTTCACACTTCAACTGCTAGCAGAGGACCTCACCCTCCCTGATTGAAATAACCTCGTTATCTCCAGACTGATTCTTGCCAGCATATTTATACCTGCCCCTGGAAATTTCCATTACATGCATCCGACGAAGTGGGCATTCACCCACGAAAGCTTATGCTCCAAAACATCTGTTAGTCTTAAAGGTGCCACAGGACTCTGTTGCTTTTTACACTCTCCTTGTATCTTAGATGGGGATTTATGCTCATAGGCATGTTAATTGAAGGGTGAGTTCACACCTATCAGTCTCAATGGGGGTTTAACTCAACCCACAATAAGGTTTCACCCAGCTCATAACAATATCTTCCTGCCACTTCTGTGACCATCAAATGGATCACCAGTTTTAATCTTCTCAAAATAAAACAAAGCATGGAGTTTTGGATTTCCTTCTCCCTCTTCATAGACCACTGCTTTCTTTTTTGTTACTTCTCTCTCTGAGGGGATCAGAGTAATTGGGACATTTTAACCAAGGCTATGTCTACACTACCACTTTTGGCATAGTTACTGCCACTCTTGGAGGTGGTTTTATTATGTTGATGGGAGAGCTCTCTCCCACAGACATAGAGCAGCTACACAAGTGATCTTACAGCGGCACAGCTGCAGCGATACAGTGTAGACATGGCCTAAGGCTCAGTTAAAACAGGCTCCTACCGTCTACGGAAATCAACAAAAGTTAGAAGCCTAAATGCCTTTGTGGATTTGAGCCTAATGATCTTCTGTTCTGTGATTGGTCCTCTTCCTTGTTCACACAACCTTGAATCAGCACTTGCTATGAAATGATTGAAGATCAGACTGGAAACCAGGAACTCCTGAATTCTGTTCCTGTCTCTGCCACTAAGTCACTTGGATGAATTGCTGAAACTCTGTGTCTTGGTTTCCCCTCCGTAAAGCTGAAATAATAATACTTATCTAATTGACATTAGTTGTCTGAGGATTAAGTAGTTAGAGTCCGAATGTCACTTAGAAGATCTAAAACAATTTATGGGTAATGATGTTGACATTTATAAAAAAAATAGTGGAGATATCCTATCTCCTAGAACTGGAAGGGACCTTGAAAGGTCATCGAGTCCAGCCCCCTGCCTTCACTAGCAGGACCAAGTACTGATTTTTGCCCCAGATCCCTAAGTGGCCCCCTCAAGGACTGAACTCACAACCCTGGGTTTAGCAGGCCAATGCTCAAACCACTGAGCTATCCCTCCCCCCATTTAGTCTTATAAAAGTTGTGATATAGGTCACTGATGCATTGGCAGGCCAATGGCAGAAACGGAAGAAATGTGAACAAATTTGGCCCTGCCACAGAAAAATAAGCAACCCATCTCTACTACAAGTGTTTCCAGGAGAATTCTAGCCTTTTAAATAATGTCTCCTTTCCTGATTGGGATCCAGAATAATCAATAAACATACATGCCCCTGTTGGTATAATCCTAAATGCCTCTATTGCAGTCTGCATTTAAAAAGCAAACAAACTCTGAAGCGTTCAGTTATGGATTTCCCCCTTCCATTGGAATGGCTTCTGTTGGAGGACATAAAACAGCCAAATTGAACCGGACTATTCCCTGCTGAAGATACACTCAAGATTTTTCAGGTTGTAATTTATTTAGTTGCAGTAGTAAGTCTTGGTCAGAAGTTTTCATTCAGTAATGATCAGCTAAACTACATTTCCTTTTTTTTTTTTTTTTTTTTTAAATGAGAGTCTAACAGAATACAACTCTCAATGGCCCTACCCAGTTCCCAATCTCAAAACAATATTTTAATTGTCTCTAGTCCAGTCTTGAGACTGAATGATTGAATATGGTAAAGGCCTAAGCCAAGTAACAAATCTGATATGCTTGGTACAAAAAACAGCAAATCTGAAGGCCAAATGCAGGGATGCCGTTCCTCAGCCTCCCACCTTTCTACGTACATCTCTACCCCGATATAACGCGACCCGATATAACACGAATTTGGATATAACGCGGTAAAGCTGTGCTCCAGGGGAGCGGGACTGCACACTCCGGCGGATCAAAGCAAGTTCAATATAACGCGGTTTCACCTATAATGCGGGGGTAAGATTTTTTGGCTCCCGAGGACAGTGTTATATCGGGGTAGAGGTGTATTGTCCTTTGGAACAGTTAAGATGTTGTGATGCTTCGTGAAACCCCAAATAGTTAATATTTCTTTTTGAACAGTGGAAATGAGTCGTCCAGTTCCAGTTTATCTAAAAATGAAGACAAAGACTGTATAAGAACATACGCTAGTAGTGTGTTGTAGATCCATAAACAACAATTGCTAGGCCTCTCACGGTTAAGATTCTCATTTGAGGCAGCTAGTTCCTATGAGTTTCTGCCCAAAGGGGAAGAGAGGAAATGATCTCCAGAGCAGGAAGAAAATGTGGTAAACACTAATGGTTCTCATCTGTTCAGATTTGAAGATCTGTCTGTGTTGATAAAAAATCCTAGAACCTTACATTAGGAATCTACTCAAAGGAAGAAAGCTAATTGCCCACGGAGGATCCTGATCCAGCCGAGACTCTTAATTTCTCTGCATTTCCCTATTCATCCAACTTGAAAGGAAAATGCCCAGAAGGAGGGGAAATGCCCTGAGCACAGGACTGTAGGACAGGTCCAATGATTCATAGTTCCTAAAGCATGTCAGATAGACAGATGAAAGCTGTTGAAATGGATACAACTATCTCTTCTGTTAACAGAAAAAACAGTGAGTAAACAAGATTAGGTCACTAGGATAAGTGTATGTAATAGAATTGTCATCCAGTGTACCAGCATGAAACTGTTTCCTGGAAATACCACATCAAAGCAAGTAATAATCCAGAGCACAGTGCAATTATCTGCTAGAAATTGGTCCAATTTCAGCAGTCAGACTTCAAAGACAGACATGAGGCTTCTGATCTGTTTACTTTGTAGTACCGAAAAGACCTGGAGGATTCTAGGGTGCCAGATCTCAGGGAGCTGAAGAGATGAACGAAATCCCATAAAAGCATGGGAACTCCTGATTTGGGGATTCTGGAAGTGAGTGCAGCTGACTGGCTGTCATTGAAAGTGCTTGTCTCCAGTGAATGCATACTGGAGAAATGGAAATACTTACTGGCATTTTAGTTTCATTATATTCATGGGTTTTTTTAAAAATCCCCAAAAATAAAATACTGTCACCTAAATGTTCAGAAGTGACTTATGAGTTTGGTTGTCTTTCATGTTGGATGCTCAGTTTGAGATACCTTTAAAGGGATTTGATTTTCAGAGGGTGGGTGCTCTGCATTTTCTGAAAATCAGGTCCTTTAAGTTGTCTCAAGTTGGGCACCCAAAATTACTAGCATCTGCTGAAAATTTAAGCCACAGTGAATATTTCTATTCCCAGTTTTCTCTTCCTGCCCCGAGGCTGGTCAGTGGCAGTGTTCTCGCTCTGTCTGCCTATATCACATACTTCTATTGCCCTGTCACTGTAGTGTCTGAGCAGCTCACTATTATTACATGTATTTATCCGCACAACACCCCTGTTGTTCCCACTTTACAGATGGACAAAAAAAAGAGGCACAGAGGCTTGTCTTCATTGCAACAGGTAGCTCCACAGTTACTACACTTGAGATAGCTTAGCTTGAGTGAGAGCAGCCACACTGAGCTAGAGATTAACTCTAGCTAGTGCCTGTGCAACATTAATTTGGCTTCCTTATGCATGTGCGTTATGATACAGTCTTTAATTACGTGATCATATAGTGTGTTTTCCACAGAACCCATCTCATTCAATGCACAGGCTGGACCTGCTCTGGAAATGAATCAGGGCTGTGTAGTGAAGGCAACTGTTGTCTGTGTGACTCCTGCTTCATTTATTGCCAAAGTTGGAAGGTGTGTGGTGAATGAGGCAGGGGACTACAGGAAAAGAAAGCATGGTCTCATGTTGAAGGCAGTTGAATGCTGCCCTGAAAAATTGGATTCTGCCTCTGCCCCAGTGCTCCTGTGTGATGTTTGAACTCATAAAGTTCTATATAATACTAAGTAGGGCTGTCAAGCGATAAAAAAAATAAATCATGATTAATCGCGCGATTAAAAAAATTAATCACTCGATTAAAAATAGAATATCATTTATTTAAATATTTTTGGATATTTTCTACATGTTCAAATATATTGATTTCAATTACAACATATAATACAAAGTGTACAGTGCTCACTTTATTACTTTTATTACAAATATTTGCACTATAAAAAAAAAAGAAATAGTATTTTTCAATTCGCCTAATACAAGTACTGTAGTGCAATCTCTTTATCATGAAAGTTGAACTTACAAATGTAGAATTATGTACAAAAAATAACTGCACTCAAAAATAAAACAATGTAAAACTTTAGAGCCTGCAAGTCCACTCAGTCTTACTTCTTGTCCAGTAACCCTTGTGTTGCCAGGGGCCTGTGAGCAAGGGGGCATGGCCTCCCTTGGAGACTGATGGGGAAGGACAGACATGCAGTCCTACATTCAGGTACCAGCCCATTATTACTCCATCCATGTAATTACTGTATCTCACCCTAATGGTAGTTACTGTAAACTCACAAATTTCCTATACAGAATAATAAAATATTGCTACTGATACATATAAACATCTGCATACATACACTTTAAATATAACATATTATCATGCACAGAACAAACCTTTCAGTGATTTATGTCACAATTCTATTCCATACAAAAAAACTACATCAAAAGAACATTATTAAGGTTGCAAATTCAAGCATACTACAAAGTCAGGAAATGCCAGAATTAAGGTTGCCTGCGGAGTCTTAATTTCCTCCCCTGCACTCCCAATGCACACTTGTTATGCCTCATTCAGTACACAGAATGGATGGTGCTCTCTTACTGAGCAGCCATTCAACAGGTCGTTTTATCCTCATTGTTCAATGTGTGGTCCCTGCCTTTTTTACACTACTCAAACCCTGCTACAAAGACAACAGTATTAATTTCCTCATGCGTTTTCCACTCATTGCTACAGCATCTGAGTGTTTAAAAAATATTAATTAATTAACTAATTTTCCCAACACTCTGAGAGATGAGGGAGTATCACTTCCACCTTACAGATGGGGAACCGAAGCACAGACAGTATTCACTAATTTTGAGTGCCCCAGTCTCTGAGGCCCTGGCCCTCTAAGCAGGGCCAGGCAGCAAGTAGTCCAGGGCTCTGGCCTCAGGCAGGGCAGAGAAACGAGTGGTCTAACAAGCTCAGTTCCTCAGGCAGGGCAGAGCAATACGCAATCTAGGGCTCAGGCCTGCAAACAGGTTAGAGCACCAGTCTAGGGGCTCAGGCCTTCAGGCAGGGTGGAGCACCAAAGAGTCTTGACATCCTAGCTCTGGTAAACAGCAGACAAACGCAGGCTTCTTGGCCTAAAGTGGGGAGGCTGCCACGCTGGGGTGGGGTTGGCAGTAGGGGGGCCCCAGGCCCACCCTACTCCACCGGGTTCCAGCCCAGGGCCTTAACATTGGCAGGCCTTAACATGGTTCCGTCAATGGGTCGCGGTGATCCAGCGAAACATGCTGACCTGGATTCAGGCAACAACACAACTGGATTATAGTCAGCTGTCCCTGGGCTACTTGCCTTCACTGTGTACCTGGGTCTTGGGGTTGTCCTCAGTCTCCCCAGAATATGTCGCCAGCAACAGTCCCAGCAGCTCCTCGGCATCCTAGTTGGCTGGCAGCTCTGGTGATCCTGGTGAGTTAGCACAGTTGAGGTCCTCTTCAGGCTCCCGTTCTAGCAGCAGGTGGGAGGCATCTGTCTCCTTTGGTGGCTCTAGCCCCACTGAGCTTCAGAGCCCGCCCTTTATACTTCCTGTCCCACCCCTCTGCTTCCAGCAGGGTGGGCGTGGATGTCCTGGCTCCATGGACCAAGGTGTGGACGGGGATTCCTTCCCATTAGTCTCCGAGGGAGGCCACGCCCCCTTGCTACACTGTACAGAAGTAAAGTAGCCAAAGCATAAAGCCCTGATATAATATGTGTCAAGGATTACAGAGAAATAACTTGTGGTTTTGTCCTTTCAAGGTGTCCATCTCTATTATGTTGGTGGCGAGGTGTATGCAGAATGCGTGAGTGACAGCAGCATTTTTGTACAGAGCCGCAACTGTAACTATCAGCATGGCTTCCACCCAGCCACTGTCTGCAAGATCCCCAGCGGCTGCAGCCTCAAGATTTTCAACAACCAGCTCTTTGCCCAGTTGCTCGCCCAGTCAGTCAACCATGGCTTTGAGGTGGTGTATGAGCTGACCAAGATGTGCACTATCCGAATGAGCTTTGTTAAAGTAAGGATTCCTTTTCTTCTGTTGCCTTTCTGGAAAGAAAAGGGAAATCTCAGGGATTAGTTAACTGTGTTGATCTTTTCCAATAGAGTTTTGTCTAGCCACCAACATAAAAAAATGCATAAATGCTACTAAACAATTCACAGTCTGTAGTTGCTGTAGAATGAAAGTGATGGGGCCTAGCTGTGAGGTGCTGAACACCTTCAGTTTTCATTGAACTTGATAGGAATTGATGGTGTTCCACACATTTCTGATCTCTCGCCGCAAGGAACGAAGAGAATCTCTTCAAAGCTGTTCATCCATCCCAGCCATGTTCAGCTAATGAGTTAGCAGCTCCTTGTGATCAATAGTATTGAAGACAACTGCCCACTGACTTGAGGAGACTGTTGACCACTGAAACTATTGCTTTTCTGGGCCATGGCCTGGTCTCAAGCCAGACTAACTGCTCTCCAGAAACTTGGAACGTATCAGATTCTGCTAGAGTTGATTTTTCTACTGTCTTCTCAATGCCCTTTCCCAGCAAGAGGAGACTAAGGCCAGATTTTCACATCTAGGTACCCAGAGTCAGACTCCATAATCTGTATTTATGCACCTAGATAAAGGTGGGATGATTTTCAGAGTGCCCATCATTCCCATTCAATATCCTTTGGAGTTGGGGTTGCTCAGCACCTCTGAAAACCAGCCCACTGTTGTTTAGGTGCAGAGTTCGAAGCCTGACTTTAGGTGCCCAGGTTTGGAAATATCGACCTAAGTGAAAAATGGCAACGCTTAGGAGCAAGGGATAGAATACAGAACTTTTTGAGCTCTGCCGGCAGCTTGCCCTCTCATTTACAATTATAGTTTATAACCTCACAGGCCCATCCATCTCCCATTAGCTTGTCCTGACTAAGGCCATGTCTACACTACGCAGCTTTTAGTGACACAGCTGTGTTGATACAGCCGTGTCGCTAAAAGTCGGGCAGTGTAGCTGCTGTTTGTCGGTTCTTTTGCCAGCAAAATACTTTAACACCTCTGTTAAAGTTTAACACCTCTGAACGACAAAAGTTTTGTCGTTCAATTACCAGTGTAAGACATAGCCTAAGAGGAGCCTGGTGACTTTCAGGTGGTTGAACAAACCTCTCCCAGTGCCTCTCGAGCTTATGATTGCAGTTCTGGGAGAAAGCTAACCACAGAGGACTGGAAGTTTTTCTCTGCACTTCTTCAGCTCTGGAAGACTCCCCCAGTCTAGTGGATCTTGTTTGTAATAACTGACAGGTCTTTGCAGCTTTATACAAGAAGTGGTGCTGTCCAAATGACTGCAGTAAGCTGACTGTATTTATGCCAGAGGGGATGGGGCTTTGGGGCCAAGAATCAGGACTGATATGCCTAGAATGAATATCAGCAGGGTCAAACCCCCCCCCCCCCCCCTTGCAAAGTGTCTAAACAGCTTTCTGAGTGCACACCTTTCCTATAAAACCTTAAGGACCAAAGTCCTATCTGCATTTTGTGGACATTAAAAATTCCCTGGCCCTTTTTTCCTAAGGCAAAGTCTCCCAAACCATGACCTGCACTGTTCTGCTATGCTCCAGTTTGGAAAGGAATTGAAGTCTTGTACAACTCAAGTATTAGTAGCGAAAACAGTGTTCTTTGTTAGTGGAAGACATGAATGGGCCTGTTTGTTCAGGAAGTGCACGCAACACTTTCATTATCTCAGTAACTCGCTGGCGCTCTCTTTGATGTGTTATCTGGAATCAAACCTGAGTGGCAGGGAATGCTGTTGTGTTTTCATGCTGAACCAGACTGCTCCCATGTTATCATCTTGCGTTGTTGAAACAATTGTAAACACTATATCACCCTTTTGGCTCCCTATCATCAATGTGTGAGAGGTCCATTTCCAATCTTTTCAAACCTCATTGCTCCTTTTTATTTGTTCCTTGGAAAACTGCTTTGGGAGTCCTCTTATGGTCATTTTGGCAGCAAAACCTTGTCCTCTCCTCCACTGGGGACGGAGGGTGCAAGAAGCCACTTTCTGTCCCTTCTTCCCCCAGTGCACCCATGCAGCAGCTGGTTAGGATTACAACTGTAATAATACTAAGAACTTAACGAATGCTTTTCATCTGTAGATGGCGATGTTCTTTACAAAGGTGGGTATCATTTTCCCTGTTGCAGATGGGGAAACTGAGGCACAGAGAGGTTAAATGAGACCTCTACAATCACACAGCTTGTCAGTATCAGGAACAGGAATCAGGTCTTCTGACTCCCAGTTTGGTTCACTTCCTCTTGGACTACACTGCCTGAGGCCGCAGTACTAAGGAGAGGACCTGGAAAACACACTTACTGTGGTGCTCCACAGCTTGAAGGGACTGCATAGCTTGCTCATCTGGGGCATGGCCAAGCCCCAGGCTCCCTTCACGTAGGCTGCTGTTGACAGAACCTGCTGGGAGGGGCCTGTGCTGCTCCTACTTGGAGCCGCCAGTATGGACTTCTGCTGAGTTCATTGCCTCCAAACCCCTGAGCCATTTGCTCTATGCTGGCAAGCTGGCTCTTGGACCCTCCACTTAGTCACTGCCATCCCCATCGCAATCATATGGCAGTCAACAAGGCGAGGATTTTGCCCGTAGTTTTGATTTCACTCCCTTTCTAATCACTTCGGAGAGCTTCTCCGTCTGCTTAAGCTTCCAGCTTCATTTTAGTACTGGGAGCCAAGAATGCCAGCTGCAGCCCAGGGCAGCCCGTTCATAAGCAGCAGTGGAGTTGGAGTAACTTTCTTTGATAGAAACACAAGCAGAAGTCACAGTTCCTTGCCATTTTAGTCACGGTGGGTTTGAGTGTGCAGCATGAATAGTAACAAACCCATGAAAGAGCCTGAGAATGTGTTCAAGCTGCCACTAGAGGGAGCTGTCCAGCCACCTAAACATTTGGCTTACTGCAATGTAAGTCACTGTTCCATGCACCAAACTGGTCTGGTGTACACAAACTTTGATTTCCCCCTCCCTCCCCCCCCAGATTGGCAGTACTGCCAATAAAGTGAGGGGCTTAGGCACTTCTGACATTTGTTCTACTGTCTATGCACTTTCTGATGAAAAAAGAGTACAGAACACACCAGTATTACAGATCCAGGAGATCCGGTAGATAAACTGGGGCCAATGTAAAGAAAAAGAGTTTTTATGAAAACTTTTCCAGAACTTTAATGTAAACTGACTTCACTGCAGCCCAGAATGACACTAATTGATTAAAAGGAGCCTGTTTGAGGGGCCCCAAAGCTTACTCTTCTCCCTGTAAAAATTCCACCATATTAAAGTAAATGTCTCTTTGGTGATGACAAACCTATTAGCCCTCCAGATCAACAGCAACATAGATAAACCTCAGCATCTTTGCTCAGTGACCCACTAAAAGTGCCTGCTCCTGCCAAACCCACTCATGCTGACTAATATCTTAGTTTGTGCTTAGTCCTACTGATATTGGAGTTCTGTTCCTGACTCTGACATTGCCCAGAAGTGTGACTTTGAGCTAGTCTTGTAATCTCTCAAGCCACTTAACTCAGTGAAATCAGCACAGTAAGGTACTACATAGCCCCACTAGGTGTGGTAGAATTGGGCCTTCTGTGTTTGGGCTGAAATTAGGCATAGTAGCTCCACTAGATTTCATACTGAACATTGTGGTTTATTTTATGCAGCACAATAAGAACTCAGTTCTGCACCCATTGAAACAGACTTGCTAGTTGTCCTGGTTGCTCCAGGACTCCAGTGCATTATTAACTCCATCACACTCTCTTGGGGGTCTCTCAAACCCCAGCCAGAGTCCTGGGCAGCTGGCAGAGTGGACTCCTGCTACAGGATCCACGGTGGAGAACTGTTGAGAAGCCTGAGGCTTCTTGTATATCCTGTCTCCCTGCGGTGGGGTCTGTGAGAGCCAGGCACAGAGAGGAACGGAGAGAAGGTGTGTGTATGCCCCATATGCCTTATCTTAAGGTGAGGGTGTAGTTGATGGAGGAGACAGAGGGAAATAAGAAATGAGGGACATGGGAAGATTGAAGACCCAAAGTGAGAATGGTGGAGCAGGAGATGAAGGGATGATAAGATAGGGAAAGGGAACATACACAAATGGGTGAAGAAATGTTCCCCTCCCTAGAGGAGACTCAAAGAGAGGTGGAACCCCTCTACTCCCCATTAGAAGAAAGGCATGGGGAGAGAAACCCGTTGCCTCAAAAACCCAGAATGAGAAAGCTATGGAGCCTCCCCATAAGGGACAATTGCAGGTCAGAATCACCAGAAGAGGAAAGGGGTTGATGGAGGATGGAAAAGCCTATAAATAAACTAAGTGTAAATTAGAAGAGGCTCATGGGGCCTTGTAGGAGTCTCAGTATTCTGTCTGAACCACAGACTTTTAGATAATCGTGTCACCAATAATCTTAAATTCACTGAAATGCACAGACAGCTCTGGCCCTTAAGGCTCCCCACTTGTTGGAGAAGTTGTCCCTAGGAAAATGTATTAAATGCTGGCAACTTAGTTGACGTCGCTGGCCACTTTCCCACTGGCTGCAATGAAGCCGGGCCTTTAGTGGTGGAATTACAATGAAAAAGAAACTCACCTTTTGATCCTTTGGTATTTTTGTAGGGCTGGGGAGCGGAGTATCATCGCCAGGACGTTACAAGCACTCCTTGCTGGATTGAGATTCATCTGCACGGACCATTGCAATGGCTGGATAAGGTGCTCACACAGATGGGCTCACCTCATAACCCCATCTCCTCAGTCTCTTAAGAATCATCTCTAGTATTACCTATAGGATGGATGCTATTGCAGGCAGTGGCTTATAGAATCTCCAATTAAAAGAAGTTTCTATATGTAGATGTAAATATATATACATAGTCTACTATCCCTATTTTTTTCATGGTATGTTTTGTCATTTCTAGTTAACATGATGCTAGTATGACAAGGTTAGATTTCAGGGTTAGCATGTCTGTTCTCATATGAAATAAACCAGATCCCTGCAAAGAGCTAAACATTTCCTGTGAGCATCTTCACTTCCCACCCAAGTCTTCGAGAGGTGAGAATACTCAGCACGCCATATGGATTAAGAACCCTCAGCTGCAGAGAACCAACACCAAGCTGTGCACCACTTAAATCCATTTTAAATTCTGTGGGCTTAAGCAGGACCAAAGTGGCCTGCAGGATTTGTGCAGAGGGTGAATTGCAGCTGGTGAGTTAAAGGAATAAACAGCAGTTCCAGTCTGCCTCCCTATTTGTGACATTCCGCAGGGTACAATCTGGACTGTTGAACAGCTGTGTCCCCTCATTTCTCAACCTGGCGTTGCCTTTTACACTGCTTTGCTGTGAGAACAACCACTCCTGGCCTGTTCAAACACAGCCTCGAGCATGCAAAATCACTCCCAGCTGAAAGATATGAGTGTTCTAGCCAGTCACTCCTGAATTATATTAGAGTGACACCAGCAAATTCTCAGTCCCAAACTTGTCCCCAGAAATGTGCGGCTTGTACTGCCCAGCACCTTCCTGGACAATACAAGTTCATAGAAAGTCCGTCATTTCATTAATAGAAAATGATATGCACAAGCACTGTTATCTCAAACGGAGGTTCCCAAACACTTCAGTCCAAACACACTGGTTTAGATAAAACTAGTTTATTAACTACAGAAAGATAGATTTTAAGTGATTACGAGTAATGAGGTATAAAAGTCAGAATTGGTTACAAAGAAATAAAAGGTAAAATGCAAACTAACACCTAACTTATCAAGCTGAGTGAATTCAAAGCAAAGGTTTTTCTCACCACATGCTTTTACTGGCTGAACTCCTTCAGTCAGGCCCGCTCCCCCCATTCAGTGTTTCTTCAGGTGTCATTAACGCCATGAGCAGATGGAAAGGGAGGAGAGAGGTGATTTCTGTCCTCTGTTCCTCATTTTTATATCTTTTCCTCCTCTTAGAGAATCATCTCCAGCTGGGGTTCAGGTGGCAGCAAATCTGTCTCCCAAGATGAAAATTTATTGCTCACACCCTTCTTCCTGCCAAAGAATGGCTGTTTACCCAGGTGATTGTCCAATTGATTTTGTTGACACCTGGCAGAGGCGTCCATTTTCCTTTTGTGTCTGAGGAACTGGTTTGGGCTGCTTCCCCAGAATTGGAATATGCCATATAAGATTCCACTGTTCGATGTTACTAACTTTACATACAATGTTGCCAGACATATTCTATCAGGACGGTAATGATCAGCGAGTTATGAGTTTTCAAACAATACCTCACAAGGCATACTTTGTACAAGATTTATCATAGTTTTGTAAAAGTGGTGAACATACGAGTACAGTCTATCACACTATTGCAAAGCATTATGGGCTAGATCCTATGAGGAGCTTAGTTTTCCACATCTACCCTTGATTTCAGTGGGAGCTGCTGGCTCACAGGAGGTGTTCAGCCCTTCATTGTCAGAGCATCCTGGGCTAACCCAAGTAGTCAGATACTGCTGACACAGTAGTGTATGGTACTGTTGCACTGAAAAACAAGAACAATTTCATTTAAACAAAACCAAAATCTATGCATATATGTATATATATATTTAAAAATGAGTTAACTTCCACTGCTTTTTGCAAGATAAAAATAAATAAATACTTATCTGGCATGTAAACTTCATCCTCTCCACTGAGCAGTATTGATGTATTTTGTTTTTAAATTAGAACTATCTGTAGTTAGACTATTGTGCTGCTATCCATGGTACGTCTAAAAGGGACTTGGACTGTGAGTCACAAAAGGGAAGTGAAGTGTAAATTGTGGAATTACATAACTAGCTTATCATTCCCTTTGAGAGAGCCTCTGTACTGGGTACATGGCAGAGTTGGGAGCAGCAAACATACAAGGGTGGGAGTGGGATTGAGTCGGATACATTTACTGTATTGATCGTGCCTTGCTTCAGGGATTGATTCTGGGCCGCTGATTATTCAGGGGTTCAGCAGATGATGCTCTCAGCCAGTCTCAGGGGGTAAAGGACACAGTACCCATCCCTACAGTTGCTGGAACAAGCTGTTTACCATCTTAGCCATAGGCCTTGGCATTTGAACAGTGGTTTTGGCTATGCTGCAGGGAATGGCCAGGGCTGCAGGGGGAACAGGAAGTCCAGAGCAAAGCAGTGGGCAAAAATATTTTATAAGCTTCCAGTCCACATTCCCTCTGCAAGTGGGACATGCTGTTGCCTACACTCTGGTGCATGGAACCAGCCTGGCAAAACTCCACTCACCCAGGGCACATCACCTTTTCTGAAGGGCACCAATCCTTTTTCATGATCACCACCACCATGTGAAAGAGGTGAGCGAATATTTGATTATGCCTAGGCAGGACAGCTTAGCTAGCTGCCAGGAACCAGGTTGCTATAAGGGACAGAAACTCCAGTAACTTCATAGATCCTGCTTTTTACTATAACAGAAGTGTTACCCTGAAACTTCTATTGAACAGAATGATTTTTCTTTTCTCCTTTCATAATATCTAGAACTAAGCATTGCACTGTCTAATTGTAAGAAGAGGATTTCTGAAACCTTTAAGTATATTTTGCATAAAAGCCAAACGACATCTGTTAAAAATACTTCTCACAACTTCTAGAAGCTGTGTAATACCTATTATAAGGTGATAATTATGAATGTAGCATAAGAATTTTTAATAAACCAACAGGGTTACTTTCTTTGAATACAGCTTCAAGCATTTCCAACAGTGTTAGTGCACAGAATAATAAATGATCATTAAATTCTGTGCAAGATAGCAAATTTACATGGGAAATGTGTATTGGTGAAGAGCCCCATTCTGTCACCACTTGATAGCAGCAGCATCATTATCTGATAGGAGAAGCTTTATAATCTCCCACAGCAATGAAATCAAGTAATATTGGTACAGAGAAACTCTAGACATGCCATTTACTGCTTAGCAGAGTTGAGAAAATTAGTTTGAAAAGACATTTTCATCAACTCTATAATCTTCTCTACACAGCATCCTCTGTATCAGCAATGTCACCCTACTGGGGTCTTTGAACTGTGGTTTTCAAAATACTCATTGTTCAGTTTCTCCACCAATGTTTCTGTGCTTTTCTGACTGCAGCTCCCCCTCCCTTTTTAGCAACTGAGAATGGAGAAAGCCCACTTGTTCCATTTCAGCAGCTAGTTACTTCCCCCATTCTGTATCCCAGGTTTGTCCTTTCCTTCTGCGCTGCCCTTTTCAGTGAAAGACAATTGACTCCCTCCAGCCCAGAGGGCAGAAGTTGCAACCTCCTCCTCAATCCCCTGGTAATGCCTGTATAGAATGGACAGCTGGGCTTGATTATAGACATTCTCAGCACCTTCCTCTTCTACTCAGAGAGTGAACATGTCCCTTCCAAGGTGCACCTGGTCTTTGTCAGCTTTAGAATCCAGTTGTCTCCTGCTGATAGTGCAGCAGAGCACCTGACCAGCTGCACCGGTCTCTTTTCTAAAATATTTTTGGTTCGTAGGGGGTTTCACCTCTGGAAAGCAATGGCATTTGCATAGTAATAACCCATGTGATTTGTGTGTGATTAAAACACCAGTCACCTCAGGTTGGCTTTTTCCCTCCTGCATTCCACCCTCTGGGAGTAATCCTTATAAAAATAGCCCCATTGACTTTAGTAGGACTACACCCCTGAGTAAAGGCTGCAGTACCAAGTTCCTAGTGTGTAAATCCCACTTGCCTTGTTAAGGTATTTCATCAGATTTTAAAGCACTCACAGCAGACCTGGCAAAACCCTAAATTACACTCAGGCCAAATTTTACAAAAGCAGCCACTGATTTGCAGTGCCCAACTTCAGCTGCCTTACAGCAGATCCTCCAGGATACTTAGGTGCTTATCGCCATTAATTTCAATGGGAGCTAAGGGCCTAAACATCTTTGAGAATCTGGGCCCTTGGGCCTGAATTTCAAAGGGCCTCAGTGTGTGCAGCCCTCATCGACTTTAGCTGAGTGGTCAGCCTATTCTGAATGATAGGCCCATGTTGTCTGAAACTGGGCATAAATTTCCCATAACTTATTGCAAGGTAATTCTGTATTTCACTGCAATGTTTCCCCATTGTAAACAGTGATATTTTCTGCCCAAAAGTCCTCATGAATCTGTCAGCTAGTATGCAGTTAAAAACCTTTAAACAAACTCATAAATACTCCAGCTTTTGATAGGCTGCCAGAGAGATTTAAAAGCCACTTAGAGGAAAACTAATTCGCAAAGACAGGTTTTTTTAATGTTTTTTTTTTTTTTTTTAAAGCTTCTGGGAATCAACAATTCAAACCATGTTTAAGGTTCCTACTGAGAAGTGCAATGTATCAAGAGAGAGTTATGAGATTTGAGCTGCTGGTGGCACAAAGAACATTCATCATGGTGCTCAGACCACTTATTTTCCTATTAAGAAATCTGTGCAAGAAAATTGTTGTGGGTTGATGATAGTTTAATTGCTGCCAGTACTTCAGAAATACCAGTATTAATATATCACCTTTTTTCAGAGCCTGTTCAAGCAAACCTTGCATCCCCCATGAAGCCATCAGTTGGCCCCTTCTTTTTCCCACCCTTAATCCCCATTTACCCCACATCAGATGAGCAGGTATGTAGTGTGGCCAGACCTGGTCTGTGTGTGTGTTTGTGGAGAGAGTTAGGAGGTTTCCTGTTTAAACAGGAGCACAGAAGGCCTTGCAGTGCAATAGTTATGGCTGCAATAAAGGGGCAGACATCCTCATTCCCCTTAGGGCCCAAGGTCCTGTTGTCCCTGCTCCACAGAGGATATGATTGTGACACAGCTGCCAGCTAGGGATCTCAAGTCCAATCCAACACCCACAGAAGTCAGTATGTCTTGCCAATGAGTCCAATGGTTGTTCAGTCAGGACTATAGTCCTTTAAGTCAAACTGTAGTGAAGTGTCCCACGCATAGCTCTGCAGGTTCATCCCTGGTGGTGGCCAAGATGGTGGTTGCGACATTGTCACAGGAGAGCTCTGCTAAGGAGAGGCAACTTGTACTCCATACCTTATGGCACTGAAGCATGAACATCAGTGGGCCCTCCTCAACTTAAGGGTGGAGGGAGAGGCATCTGTGTCTAGCTTTGATCTGACCCTGCTCTTTCATGGCTGACAGCATTTATCTGCTTGCAAAGCTATGAGACTCAGGAAGCATCACTTACCACTTGCTGCTTAGAGAGATGTAGAGTTCCTTAGATTTATAGTGACTACTATGGGAGAAACTGCATCTGTTTCTTTTGGTTGAATAGAATCATTAATAAAGAAGCGTGGCTTAATTTATTTGTTCTTGGAATGAATCTCAAGGGGAAAGCCAGTGTTCTTGGCTCATTATGGACTTTTTTGTATTCAACTTTAAGAATACTTAAATTCTCTCTGATAAAGCTGGGGGGAGATCTATAGCCCATTTGAAATGTAATGTGTGATATCATCCCTAGCAGTGCAGGGCATTTTGTGCTGGAAGTCAAAACCATAGACAAGCATTTAATCCTTCTTCCTATTA